CTTTTAACACTAATTAATATTCTGTTTATTTTAGTTTGGATTTGATTTAAATTCAAATTAAAAGCCATTTAAAATTGATTCTTACTAATGGGTATAGTTGTGGCATAAAGTTATAGACCTTGCTGTTGTAAACATTGCTGTTAATATAGAATTCTCATTTGGTATCATATCCTTATTTATTGTTTATATTTGTATAGAGAATAATACATTTCGCACAAAACTTATTGTATGATTAGTTTAATTGTAATAAGAAATACTGTAATTGTGTCATGTTTTGTAACAAAACTTACTTTATGTTGTTCAAATTGTTGCTGTAATCAAAATTGCAATACTTATTAATAAATGTTTAAACTGTGTAATAAATCTTAATATTATTACTGTACTGTACTAAAATAGTTCACCTTTATCTAATTTCATAGCCATAATTCAAATTGATAGAATTTTTAAAAACTCATTGTATTATAAAATATTATTTAAACACATCATACCGATTCTGTATTATTTGTTTATTAGCCTTACTTTTCAAAAACTTTGCCAAACATTCAATATAAAGAATATTCAAAGTTATAAAGAAAACACTTTTAATGCAAGAATATTGAGATTTATTAATAACAACGAGTAATAAATAATCAAAATCTCAATCTAAATCATGATTTAATAGAATTTGAACAGAATTTCTTAATTATAAGATTTACAACAAATTAAGTAAATTTAAAGTAACTGTAAAGAAAAATAATATTCAATAATTAAAAAATAATTAACTTTTACTTTAATAATAAAAATAATATTAAATAATATTCTTTGAAAAAGTGAATCCCAAGACATATATAATAATTAAATTCATAACTAATTCTCTTCTATTGTATAATAAATATATAAATCGCGTGTAAAGTGAGAGTAATTTACATATAAATGATTAAATTAATGATTAATTTGAAAAACTTCCTAAAACGACGTGACGAACAGTGTGTGACATTTATTGCAACCAATTGTCTGATTATTATTATTATTAATATATTAATGAATGAAAACTTATGAAACCAATAATCCATCGATTAATCAATTTGTGCGCCAATTATTGAATAGACATTTCCAGAGCTATCAATAAAAAGACATCATTAATATGACTCAATATATTGTCATAGGATTTACATAAGGGGAAAGGTATTGAAATACTCACTTAAGTTAAATACGCTTGACTTTAGCGAACTTGTAGGCAATGGCCGCCTGTTTCTCATAGCACTGGTAGCAGAACCACGACTCATCCTCATTGGGCGCCTCCTTAATGGCGGCGCAACTGAAGTGATACCAACGGTCGCAGTCATCGCAGCAAATGGATGGCGTGGTGTTGTCGACGGGGAGCCGACACGTCGGGCACTGCCATTGCGAGGAACCGCCGGCACCGCTGTATTTGGTGAGCGCTATGATGGGTGAGGTGGACAAGGTCTTGTGGACAACCGCGGGTTTGGGCGGTGGGGGCGGCGGCGGCACCGACTGTTTCTTTTTCTTACAGCGCGTACACATCCAATTGGAGTCCGCTTTGGGCTCCGTAAGGATACCGACGCACTGCCAGTGATACCATTGGTCACACCGGTCGCACCCAATCATAGGCGTGCCGTCGTCCGGCTTCTCGCACTGCGGGCATATGTACTCGTCGTCCTCGTTGTCTAACATCCCTTTCCGGTCCATCTCTCTGTGCTCTCTATGTTTATTCGCTTTAGACTTACTATCGCTCAAGTCTTCGTCCGATTTATCTGAACTCTGGATCTTCTTGGGGACCGCAGGGGTCACCGAAACCGAGTCTTTTCGGGGGCGACCCCTGGGTCTCATTGCTGGCGGCTTGTTGGAGGGCGTGGGCCGCACCTCCTTCTTAGGTATTATATATGTTGTAGAAGTGGGCTATAAATACAAACACATGAATAAAACAAATATTGAAAAGACAACAACAAAATCATTACTGATTTAATGGATGAAGTATTGGTTGCATTTGATGAAGAAGTGGTTGCTTTAGTACTGGCGGCCACACCAACGGTCACACTCTGTTCGTCACGTCCTAATTGTCATTTGTCTTTCACTCGCTTTTTCGTCTCTTTTTTCTTAATCCTCGACACAATGTGTTCCTGTTTTTTGATACATTTCCCACAAAACCAACTCTCGTCCTCATCCGGCGGCTTATTCGGGTCGATACCGACGCACGTGTAGTGATACCACTCGTCACACGTATCACAGCCTATGGATCAGGTATTACACCATCAATTACCATTCATTAGATAACACATTATCAACAAAAGCCATACCAATCATAGGACTTCCATCGTCAGGTCGCTTACACGTGGGACAGATCCACACTTTGCCGTTCCCTTCGCCCGTATCCACAGTAATGGTCTCTCGGATCACAATACAAGACTTGTCTTCTTTGGGCTCTTCCTTCACGAACTTCTTCTTCGGACCCCTTTTCTTCTTATTGGACAACTCGTCCTGATTTGGAACGTTATGTTTGGGAGACAACAGTGTCTTCACGGGTGACTTCCGGTCGGCCGCCGTCTTCACAGACAGCTTAACGGCTGATGAGGACTGCGATTTGGCTGTCGTTCCCAATTTGATATTAATTTTTGGCTTCAATTCTTCCTCAGAGGACGAGTCGTCATCGCTAATGGTTTTCTTGGACTTGAATTTCTTGTTATTTTTATTGGGTTTCGTCGCCTTCTTATCCTTGCGCTCCCTTTCCTTCTCCTTGCGGTCCGTCTTATTCTCCTTATCCTTCTCTTTCTTAACGATCGGAGGGTTTATTGCGTTCATTATCTCCGGAGGCATCGCCTTCTTCTCGGCCAACGTCTTGGGTTTCGTGAGAGTGGGCGGCGGACCAGAGTATGACTGCGGGGGTGACGCGTGAACGGGGGTTAACAGTGGCGGAGATATCTGTCCAAAGAGTGGGGGCGTCGGGAAGAAGGGGTTGTTCTGCGAGTATATTGTGGGCGAGAGGGGAGACATTCCGGGCGACACTTTGGGAAAAGAACTCATCGCCGACTGAAACACTGAACTGTTGTCATTGGACGGCGAGGAGGGGGTGGCTGTGGCTGAGGGGGCCGTCGCAGTGGCCGATGGCTTATGCTTTTTGCGCGACTTCGACGACACGGTCTTCTCGCCGGCCATTAGGACCAAAGTCTTTGCCGCCTCGTCGTCATCGAAGTGTGTGTTGGCTCTGAGATCCGATTTGCTTGGATTGGGAGACATGTGTTCGGCCTTCACTTTGGGACTCGTATTGGGATGCGTTTGCTGGACGTGTGGGTGCGGAGAGCGCTTATGGGGGGACAGTAGGGCTGCGTGCGATTGTCGCACCACTTCATCGATGGTCTCACTCATAGACACCTCATCCAAACCCTTCTCCTTTTTGGAGCGTTTGGTCGACTTATCCGTCGACTCCTCTCTCTTCAGTTTATACTTCTTTTTAGGCAATTCTGAAACACAAACCACTCATTCAATCACTAATCCATTCACATATTATTTCCTATTCTATTCATAAACAACAAAATTTATGGCTATTGTGTCAACACTGGACACTCAAATGACAGGCCATTCATTAAGACTGAGGCAATGGGTCAGTCAACGCACATGTCCTCCCAATTATGTAAATGCAATTAAATAGAGTACGTGTTTGACCCATACATCTAAATAACCCTATAATAGTGCATTAAAATTGGGGGTATATTGCTAATCAACTCCTAACTAGACTATAACCACTCATTTAGATATACAGCACCGGTATAAATGAAATTGAGTGCCAAATATGAACTAATTTTAAATCACAAATAAAGCACAAAAAGTAATGCAAACCATCGTTTGAATAGAGGGTTGGGGTGACACCAGTGTCTGGTCTGTGAGCGCACACCCTATCGATGACGGCCTCAATGGATGAGTCAAACGACGCGTTCGTATTTCTGAGCACTTCGTTGGGCGACACTATACTGGCCGGCGATCGGGCCATAGTGGGCGTGGAGGTGGCGGTAGGCGTTCCCGTCGATAGACCGACGACTTTGATGGCGAGCGGCGAATAGGAGCGCTCGCCTCCGATCTCTTTGATCTTCAATACATTCTTCAACTTCTTTCTCTCCTTTCCATCCTTTTGTTTGTCTCTATTCTTACCGACAATTGCCTTAATCTTAAACTTCTTGGTCTTGAGCTTCAGTTTGTCGGCCTTCAGGTCCTTCGCCTCCTTCTTCTCCCTCTTCTTATCCTTTCTTTCCTTCTTTTTGTCGCTCTTCTCATCGGTCTTCACCTTCTCCTCCACTTTCACCTCTCTTTCCGGTGTATTCTCGCGGCTCTCCTCCGACTCAATCACTCGCTGGGCGTCCGGTAGGCGTCCCTCGCGTTGCGCAACACTTGTTTGCAGATCGCGGAGGAAACTCAAGCCGTCGACCACTGCAGAGGTGAGCCGTTTGGGTGACGTCGAGCCCAAGTCCGGCGCCGACTGTGAGGTCGACGGCGGAGACATCAGACTCTCGCTATTGAGGTCTTCGTTGAGTTTGGAGGCGTCGCCGCTCTCGTCAGCCACAGCCGGCGCTCGCGATTCACGCAATGGAGGCATCCATTCGTAATACCTGTCCATCGCATCCATACATTCAACACATATTAGACATCAAATCAATAATATCTACACAAAGAGTATGTAATCAAAGAGGTCTACCACTCAGGCCTGTCCTCCTCGGGGGCCGTATGGGTGAGGACCCGATTGGACACGTTTCTGATGGGATACTTGGGAACGGCGACCTCCAGGGGCTGCGAGTCCACGCTATTGATGTAGTCTTTGAGTTCATTCAAGTCGATGCTGAAGTGGTTGAGCGCGAGGCCGATGTCGTCGAAAGTGGGCGCCTGTCGTCCGCAATGGTTCGCGTATTGGACACAATGTTTGGCCAATTGTCTCATGTATTGCTCCGTGATTTGGGTCAACACTTCCAGTGAGGAGGCGTGCGATGCGTGCCAACCCATGTCGCGACACATTTGCGCCACAAATCCTCGCAGTATTGCATCGCTGTATGTGATCACCATCGCTGTGATCACCACTCGCACCACACTCGCCGGTGATCTTATCGTCTCATGTCTTCGGGAGTGCTATTGGAGGGGTAATAGCGGTGTGAATGCAATCATACCTCTAGTGATGTTCACATCCACTGAGCACTCAATGCAATGCAACTCAATGTAAGCCCTATTCGTGTGTTTGTGTCACAAATTGTGTGAACCTTTCGCACAAATGGCGAGACATTGAATGGTAGAGCGCGTGCGCAACACATGACCACCACTGCCACCACTGCACTGCACTCCACGCCCTCTATTCACTGCAACTCTCAATCACTCACTCAATACAGTATAATATTCAGTGTTCACTATAAGTACAACATTTGATTCAAAGTTTTCAAACAATTCACATAATATTCTAGAAATTTAATTCATAATTAGAGACTGGTTAGTTTGCATCAAGGTTTCAATTAGTTGATTATATAGTGATAGCATGATGCTCAAATACTTTAAGTTTTAAACTAAGGAGACCCAAGTTTTAAAATAGTTTTCCAATATAATTAAAAGTTTAAATAAAAAATGATCTTGTATAGGTTTAAGAATTATAAATTAAATTATAGTTGCATTAAATATAAAAGTGTTAATAAGTTAATTTAAAAATATGTTGTTTGATAAATAGTTTGAATGTATAGTAGAGTAATTGTAATACTGTAGCTTGCTATGAATCATAACTTATGATAGATGAGTTTAGATACCTAACCTAACCTAATAAATATCAAATATACAGTATAATCATATATGTAAAAACTTATTAGAGCTTATTATAATTAAAATTATAATTATAATTACATATTTTCAGAATAATGTTTAAATAATTTTAGATATTGAGTAACTTATTCATATGAACCAAAAGTCACGTATTAATAATCTTATATACATTTATAAGTGAAATATTATAAATGTAACAAGTTTCATAATTAATAAAATAACTTAGTTACCTGACTTATAATATATTTATTGTTGCTTTGTGACTAACTTTTCCTAGTAAAGGGTAGTTATAATATTTGAGAACAATATCATAATAAATGTTATATTAATATTAAAGTTTTTAAACAATTTATACGAAATCATTGCTATTCATATTCTTTTGTGTTGATACTAAAGTATTAAACTTATAAATTAAAATTTACACGCTCAAAAATGTATTCATCGTATTCAGTATTAATATTATTTTAAATATTATATAATATTTCACCATCTAGCCAGTTTATTTTATAAGAATTTTGCACTTTGCTTTATAAATTTAATAAAAATAAAACTCATTAAATTTCTTTGAAATCATATTTAATTTGTAATCATTTAATCCACTCTATAACAGTTATACTATAGTATAACTCAATACCCTTAACCTTACATTGAGTTTGATTTCAATTTAAACGAATTTCTAGTTTTAAATTCTTTGTAAAAATGTCTATACTTTCCAAGTGCTGAATGGAAAATCACTTTTGGGAAAAGTTTAGGTAATATTCTAAACAATTATAACTTTTGTAAATGACATATATTAACACAATATAATTTACAACTCGTATTTGCAATTTTTTATCTTGTTTACTTCTATGACAATCATATGTTTTTGCACTCATTTATTTTCAATTGTACTAAACTTTTATCCTTTTCCTCGTCTCTCTCTCTCTCTCTCTCTCTCTCTCTCTCTCTCTGTCGACTCAGACTGTCAACCCTGATCACTTCAAAATAACATCAAAATATATAAATGAATGCTCACTAATTTGAATAACACATGCATTCAGTGAATTAGTTGTGAGATATAGTGCACAAGACATGAACCCAATGAACCCAAACAATAGTGATATATTGTGTCAATTAAATTGTTTGTAATTAATATACTATTCATTCGCTTAAAGAGGAAGTCTATCTAATTATACACACAATTTATTGACACAAATAATTATACGGGATATGAACGGACTTTCTATCGATTTTATCAATACTTTCCAATAGTCCTCTCTCTGACAAATAATTAATAGTAGGACTCCTAAACACCTGTCCCTCCAGTTGTCAGACAAGTAAACCAAATAAATGCAAACACATTCATACTGTTCCTAACATATGATTTGTGACAAACAACTCATATGACCAGAGAATTGGTTTTATTTAAATAAAATTCAATCAATTTCTAAAACGGTTTCTCATTAATCGCGAAATCCACTACAAAAACCTGTATTTAAAGCATTGCTAACTTAATCGCAATATTTATATTATATAAGTTTTAACATAAGGTTCTTAAACTTATTAAAAAGATTTAAATTGTGGATTTTTATATAATAAAAGTTTTTACTATTGTTTTGATTGCTTTAAATAAAACAATTTTATAATGGATTCAAAGGAATCGTTTGAAGTAAAAGCCTATCAAACGAGTGGTTCGGAAAACTGTCAGAAAGTGGTCGCCAAAGAAGAGGACAAACGCGAGGATACTATCAAAAAGTTGACGAAATTATATAAAGAGATATTACAGACCATCGGTGAGGATCCCGAACGCCAGGGTCTTATGAAGACACCGATGCGAGCGGCCAAAGCTCTGTACTACTTCTCGCACGGGTATGGCGTCAAACTGCCCGACCTCTTGAACGGTGCCATCTTTAATGAAGATCACGACGAAATGGTTATCGTCAAAGACATTGAGATGTTCTCCCTTTGCGAACACCATTTGGTGCCCATCTATGGACACGTCTCTATCGGCTATTTGCCTAATAAGCAAGTGCTGGGGCTCAGTAAATTGGCCAGGGTCGTTGAAATGTACTCCAGACGACTCCAGGGTCAGTCAATTGAGTTAACTCTGGCCTATCGATTGCACAGTTATTTTAAATATGCATTTATCTGTTGTTTTCCAAACCAAAGTCCAGGAAAGGATGACTAAACAGATCGCAGAGGCTATCACACTGGCCATCAACCCGACCGGTGTAGGGGTTGTCATCGAAGCCACGTATGAATTCATTATAACTTATAACTTATTATAAGTTTAAATAACTTATAACTTATTATAAGTTTAAATATAAAATGTACTCTATATGTAAAAATCAATATTTGAATTGATACGCGATTTTATTTGCACAGACATATGTGTATGAGTATGCGAGGGGTGCAGAAAATCAACAGCAAAACCATCACCAGTTGTATGATTGGTGTCTTCAGGGATGACCCGAAAACCAGAGAGGAATTCCTATCACTTATTCAACACAACAGATCTAAACTATAAGATTAGTGTACGAGTTGTGAGGGCCGGAAGTGTCGGTCCCTTTATCTTCTCGATATTATCCCATTCTTTACGACTATTTGTTTGCTTTTATAATGAAAACACTTTTTATTATCAATTATGTCATAACTTACTAACCCATAGGTTTCTATGAGACCAATGATTTATAAATAGGACTGCTATTGAATAGCTTTTCACACTCAAAATACATTTTAATATTTACACTATTTATTCACGTTTCAGTCAATTAATTACATAAATCTGTTAATAATTCTCCAAACGTTAAGAGTTATGCATTTTTCACGTCTCGATATATATTTCATGTAATTTAATATTACTTCAGTTTATTTGGGAATTATGTGTTTTTAATTCAGTATGTTTTGTGTTATTGTAAGATTATATTTACTATTTAAACAAAACCTAATTATTTAGTAAACTTTTCAAAGTAAAAGTTTTTTTTATCGATATTTATGTGTTTGTGATGAGAGTGTATTAATATGTGCATGGTATTTCAAATACTTTAATTTTACGTACAATAATCTTATTAATGTTTTGAACTCAATTTTCGTTTCATTGCTAATCAATTAAATGTGTTTATAATATAATATTTTTAATAATTTTATTATGTAAACATTGACATGCATAATATTTTGTAAAATTTGTGGTATATGTAATTTAATTTATGTTATATATCTATTATATTAATCTAGTGTAACCTATGATAACTAACATTAAATTGATGATTGTGTCTAATTATGTCTTAATTGAATGACCAAATTGTGTACCAAATGAGTGATTACACGAAAATCGTTTATTCCCGAAAACTTAAGAGATTTGTGTTAACAGTGTCTGTTATCACTTTTTTCACCACAGTCATCCCTATTGCCATCATATTGGACTTATCATGTAGTTCACAAACATATAAACCTGATATTACTCTTAGAAATCTCACTACTTTTTCACATAAATCCAGACAATTATATCCAAATTGGACACCAATTGTAGATAATATTGTGTCCGTTTATTCAGCTTTTCATTACAAGAACCAAACCATTGTCATCGGAATCATTGACAAGGATTACAAAGAATTAGAATTATTCTGTGAATTATCATCAAAACACATGAAAATCACAACCAATGCTTCCATCGAAGTATTGTCCGAAAGTTGGTCTCAATTTTATCGATTCATATCCGTTAAGATCTATTGTGGAAGTGATTCATTGGACGACACAATGAATGTTAAAATAAGTTTCAATTATAAGCACCACTTATTTGAAACTTTACCCATTCGTGTCCATCTAATTCAGGAACGAATGTCAATGTCTTCTGACCACAGATTTCGACATCAAATAGCAAACAGAAAATCATTAGTGGTTTGTGTCCGACCACTCTTTGGTCCCTTCACTTCGGCCCCAAAACTGCTTGAATTCATGGCTTATTATAGAGCGAATGGGATCCAAAAGTTTATTTTCTATGATTTAGACATAAGCCGCCAAATCAGACAAATCATGTTAAGTATGAGTTTCGTTGAGTTATTACCGTTTGATTTGCCGATCGATGGCAACGATATTCACGCCAACGGACAGATCGCTGCCATCAATGACTGCGTTCTTCGTGCGGCCAATGATATCGTAATACATGTCGATATCGACGAACTCATAGTTCCGGCCATTAATTACTCAAATATAAGACAATATGTGAGCCATAAGATGCGAAACTCATCCATCGGTGCACTTATTATACCAAATGTGATGATTTGCGATGAATTCAATCCTAAGAATACGTTTCCAAGAATATTGAAGTCCACTATTAGACAGACATATAAATGGGAGCATAGGGACAGATCCAAAGCTATTATTCTTAAGCCCCTGTCTGTCAATGAATTAGGCATTCATACGGTCTGGAAGTGGAAGGATATGGTCATCAATGAGAACGTGGATGAGTCCGATGCCATGCTTTTCCACTACCGTTCCTGTTGTCGTGTCTGGCAACCCTTATATCAAAACAATTTTATGGGTTCTTACTTATATTTTCTCACATATTATGATAACGTTGTCAATGATCCTGCTGTCACTCGTTTTGGGACACAAATCATACAATTCTTGAGAAAATACCTTAACTTTCAAATCTAATCATTGTTTTAGTTTTTATAAGCAAATTGTTTTAATTATGTTTTAATACTCGTATTGAGGAAATGTAACTTATTTATAAATAATAACAATTACCTCCTATACTTAAATAATTTATATTAACCAATGAATGGAATAATTATGTAATTTATATTTTGAATTCAATAACATAAGTTATTAGTGTTAAAAATATTTTCATACAATATAATTTTTTACCCAATTTAATAAATAAATACAGTAAATAAAATTTCTGACAAGTAAGATTGGCAACACCCTGAATGTTCTCCAAAAATAATTTGTTTGAATGATATTTCAAGGTTTTGATGACAATTTATGCAATCAATGTATTTCATAATGATATTCAGATAATCTCTAAATTTGTAGTTTGCATTGAATAGAGAGTTACATAATTAATTCAATTAAAATATAATTAAATGTCTCGATTGATAGTTCTAACTTGTAAGAATTAAGCAAAATAATAATTTTTAAATTAACTAAAAACATAATATTATGTCCTCTAAAATGTTTTTCTCTGTTAAAAGAACTTGACTCAGGGCCAAATAATTAGTTACTAATATTCTACCTGAATATTTAAAAATTTCTTACAATTATTCTGAATTTCGCAGACATTTCACAACTTTATATTCATTTAAAGTATAGAAAACTATTTGATGCAGTGTCTGAGTTAAATCATTTTTTGGATTCTTTATTAAAAACTTGCTTACTTAAAGTCCTAACTAACTTATTCATTATAAATATTACAAACATCATCAAAGAAATCATTAAGTTTATAATTAATTTTAAAATCCTTGAAATATAAGTCCTTAGACAAAATGCTAAAATCCAGTGTACATTAGACAAAACAATTATTTATAAATTTTTAAATACTTTTTGTCATTTAGTTACTATCACTGTCAAACTACTTGTCGATAAAAGTTTTGAACAACTTTCTCTTTATAAATAAGTAAAGTAAGAATTTTTGTTGCAAATAAAAATTTAGTTTTAAAATAAGTACCGTATATACAATACTAAATTAAATTTAATAATTACTAAAACATGTTTTACTTGATATCAATTCAATGGACAGAATGAATGAGACAAACGAATCAATTATTTTGAGCACAAATATCTCTACTATTGAGGAATGCATCAAAGAGACGACCACTTCATTGATCCAACACTTGGTATCACTCGTCCGTATGGAACAAACCCAGTCCGATGACCACCAGAATGAGGCCACCAAATATGAAGTTACAGTTAGTCATGATCCAGCACAATTTTTGCTAACACCTACTGTATACTCATTTAATTCTGTACTGAAGTTTATCCCAGTAATAGTGATGCTATTGATTATTGAACAAATCATTCGTTTGGTTCAACGCAAGGATTTGTGTCGATTCCAAGACTTTATCATCAATTTGGGCGCATCTCTCATATTTGTCTTAAGCCGGTATTGTATTCATAAACCTTGATATCAGCAAATATAGTGAATTGTAGTATTAAAGCTTTGTTTTTTATTTGCAGATCTTTTATAATAAGTGGAATCGTATTCACGTTATTCTATATCTATGATAATTATCATATCATTGAATTGCCGATCGACTCAATATGGACTTGGATTCTGACCTTACTTTTGGGTGAACTTTCACTTTATTGGACGCACCGAGCAATGCATGAAATGAACATCTTATGGGCCGGACATTACTTCCACCACATGACTGAAGATCTTAATTTCTCAGCAACTATTAGAGCAACTATTTTTGACCTCTTTTTATACGATGTCTGTTATAATTGTCACTATTCTCTATGAATTTCATTTGTTTGTCAATTATTACAGATATTCCCGATCCCTTTGGCGCTGATAATACCGCCACAACTGCTCGTATATCACATCCAACTGAGCTTTTTATATCAAATTTGGTTACACAATGAAATAGTGGGTGACTTAGGATTCATTGAATACATAATCAATACCCCGCGTCAGCATAGAGTACATCACGGAAAGAACCGGTACTGTATTGACAAGAATTATGGCACTACTATCATGTTATGGGACCGCCTTTTCGGGACCTATCAGTCATACGAGGAAAGCCCTGTCTTAGGACTGGTCTCGGCAACGCCCAAGACATACGATTCATTGACTCTACAATTTGGTTATTATTGGCAAATGGTCGTCAAATTCTGTAATTATAAGGGTGTGTCCAATAAGTGGTCAGTTATATGGAAAGGACCTGGATGGGCACCGGGCAAACCTCGGCTCGGCCTACTAGAAGATGCACCCATTTTGGAGCCAAATGCAGCCAAATATGGTTACGACCCCCATATCCCTCACTGGAAAAAGTTTTATACATTGATTCACATCTCGATTCTTATGTTGGCTTTCATGCAATTAGCGGATCACTCGACTATTGTATGAATTCATTGCTCATAAAAATTAATTAATTTAATGTATCTTATGATTGAACAGAAATACACCTCATATACAGTGATCATAGGAATTGTGTACATAATTCTGTTCCTCACATCAATCGGTGCTCTATTTGACAACCGGTGTGTATATCTTATAATACAACAGTTGTCTTAAGTTTTCATTATTACCTTAAATTTCTTAATTAATTAATCCTTAGAAAATTGGGACAATATTTGGAGGCGTTTCGCTGTTTCTTATATTTTGGGGTCGAATACTATTTTATGGGTTCTTTTGATTGGTATATAAGTGAACATCAATTCACTCTCATGTCTACCCTATTCTTCATACGATTTTCGCATATATTGTCGATTATATTTTGGTTGATTTACATCATATATAATCTGATTATTGAAAAGAAAGACCAAACTATGACAACAACCGACAAACAGGTGTCCCAACAGACCAAACAAGTGGAAGAATGCGTTCAGTCTGTCAAACACTTGGACCCCCTATTCGAGAGGTCGGTCTTCATTCTGGCCATGATTTTCATAATAATATCATTTCTATTCGCTTATGCAATGAATCGCAAAACATGTGCTAATGTTTTCAATCAACTCATTAATAATGTCTAATATGTTATTAATAAGAGTCTAATGATATATCGTATAATAAATTACCGGTATTAATCAAATATTGTTTTAACAAGTATTTTGAAGTCAAAAGTTATTCGTACAATAAACTGCCCTAAATATCCAAAAACATATTAAACTTAGTTTTACAATTACCAGTATATTGCCGTATATTTGCATATTTGTTGCCCTTTCAAATAATTTTAAACGTGATATCATTTATATTTTATTAATAAGTATTTTTAAAGGTATTTTATTAATACTGTATTATAGCTATAAATAAAGCGATTTGTTATGAATTTATAAATAATCCAATGCTTTAATGTTGACTAAAATTGTCAATGAGATATAAAAATATATTCTTTTTGTACAAACATTATATTAAAAACTTAATAAATATTATAAATGTTGACAACAAATGGACGAGATTTATGCTTTGGTCATAAGTATGATAATACCATTAAATAAAATTAAATTATTACAATTTAAATCACAGCTTAAGTACGGGTTTCAAATCATTTTGACTATTCAATAGAGATTCCCGTAAATCGTTTGCCTATAAATAAGAAAAAGTGTTGTTTTAGTAACTGTTTACTGGTCTCTAAAAATTATTAAAATATTAAAATACCAATATTCTATAAGATATCAGCAAGCAAATTCATTATAAAAATTTTATTGAAAATTATAATCATTAATTGCATAACAATTTGTTTGAGTACTTAAAAATATCTAAAAATAACAATTGGCACTAAAAAATATAGAAAACATAAGAAAAATAACTGAATTTTATTATAAACTCAGAAAATAGCATTAGTTGAGCAAATCAAATGCATTGTTCAGTAAATACTTAAATTACTGTAAAATAAAAAATTAATTCATTAAAAAAATCATAGAAACAAATAATTAGCAACTTTTCAAATGAATACAAACCTGTGTTTTGGCTTTATTTGGATAAATGACAAACAGAGACAACTGAACGGTGTTAATGAGGGCTCCGATACCGTTAGTGACGGACACGAACTGATCTTTGATGACCAGTCCGTACAGAAACCACATAATAGTCACCATAAACGACGATATAATGAGAATGAATGGCAACTTCTCGGAGCTCTTGGACTGGACGACGTCGCGGACCAAAGCCAACGGCGCCGCGCAGAACACCAGCGATGAGATACAGGCCAAGAGTCCGGCCAAATACGTGGGATCCGATCGCGACTCCACCACCATATACGCCAACACCAGCAGTGATAATAAGAAACCAATTTGTTTGTTGAGTTGACTCTAGAAGTGATGGTTAGTTATAAGACATTAGAAACTTAGGCTAAAGTTATGACAAATTGTTGAATAATGAGGTAATTGTTGTACTCGTTTGATGGTAAAGGCGTAAAACCAGATCAGATAAAAGGCTTGCAGTGATAGGTGTTAGTTATAAGACATTAGAAACTTAGGCTAAAGTTATGACAAATTGTTGAATAATGAGGTAATTGTTGTACTCGTTTGATGGTAAAGGCGTAAAACCAGATCAGATAAAAGGCTTGCAGTGATAGGCCGATGGTATTGACAAAAATCATGGTCTCATCCGAAAGCATATAACCATATCTTAACCAAAGAGTGCAACTGTTGTCCAATCGATGCAATCAAACAACAAAAAAGTGACAAAAATATGTTTCAATTAAAACCACTTTTGAAAAGAAAACACAAAATACTTTATAAAAGATAACAATTTGTGTCAAACAAACAAAACCCTAACCACAAGACTCCGGCTATGAATGGTATGGACGAGAACTCATGAGTGGATCCTTTCCGGTAGATATTCAGACAAATGGATCTGTTTTCATGACAATCAATACATATATTTAAATTGGGATCAATTAATTGGTGAGTCTTACAGTCCACTGAGGAATGAGATAATAGTGATGATTGTGGCCACCAATGCGATCGTCTCTATTAGTGTCATGTCTTGAGATGTGATGACAACAAAACCAAATCAAATCAACTGAAAGAGTGGTCAACACAACAAACACTGCAATCGATGCAAACAAATGTGAACTCAAAGTATAAGAAAAGCTAACAAATGATGAGTTGATTGTGTGTCACATCACAAAGCATTCACTCAACTGAATGGCTAATGAAATGAAAATTAAGTCTCTTTCAAAACAACATTCAAATATATGCCAAACATGTGATCAGTGCTACAGTCGACCACTTTGTATGCATATATCACTCGTTAGTGTCTCCTATCATATAATGCATTGTCATATGAAAAGCAATTTATTTTATGTAATATCGCATTATTTTAATCGATATTATATTCAAACTTCATAATGATTTTGAATTTTTGTTTTTTAATTAAATAAATTATATTTTAAATGTCATGAAGTCTACTGTATGTCAATATACAGGTGTGTTATGATGAGAGCGGCATCTCTTATACCACTTTTGAATGCCATTTGTTTGACACCAGAATTTGTTCACAGAATATTTCCACCGCTATAATATTACAGTACTGGCTATACAGTACAGTAAACTAATAAACATAATTTTTTATAAACTTACAATTTAATAAATAAATGGGAATTTTATAAACGAGAGAGAGAGAGAGAGAGAGACGTTTTTCCAAGGACTCCATACATAACATTGTCCTTCAAATTGAACTTCTCGTTCAAATCTAATGCAATTGAAAATTAATTTTAAGAAACGTCTTAAATTTAGACCTTAGGCGTGACTATGAGATAAATTTGTACAAATAACTAATATATCATTGTATTTTGTCAAAATTCAAAGCCAAAACTTTGTCGACTTGAATAGCAGAATAGCATCTTACTAACATTTTAGTCTTAAGACATGTTTACATTGAAATGAACAAGTTGATCGAGATTATGTATCACTATTCATAGTGCTTTTAATCGTGATTTAATTATCAGCGACAAACAAATACTAACATAATTTTAAAATATGGACTGTATTGAACTAGAATAGTATAATAAAAACTTTTCATTAATTAAATGTCTACCAATTTATTTAATATGTTCATTTTATCAATTGTTTATGAATTGGTACAACTTTGACACTTTAGATAAAATCAAAAGTTCAGATAAAATAGTTAGTTAATAGTATACAGATTTCTGTACAAATACTGTAACTTAATTTAACATTAATAGTATTTTAATCCTTATTGAAAGTCGATAAAAATTGTTGTAATAAAATAATTAATTATATATATCAGAATTATTCAATAAAACATTTGAACAAGTTTTACTGACTTGTGAGTCCAGTTTCATTGTATTGAAAGTATATTAAAAATTAAATTCTACCATTTCTTTCCCATCTAAATAAGACTAAGGCATTGGATATTTAAGTCACGTACAGATGTTATTTTTAATTTAATATTATTTTTAAATATCAAATGCTCAAAACAAAATAAATCACTACTATTTCAGTTTATTTATTGTACTTAATTTACATTAAATCACAAGATTTTCGATGAGTTGTACAGCTTTTAGAAGACTATCGGAGTTTAGGATTCGTTTGGAAGCGACGGATAATCTCTCTTTCAGTTCCGCATTATTTAATAGCCTTTCCATAGAATTCAGTAATTCTTGATCCGAACAGTTGTTGGGATCGAGTCGTATCCCAAACCCCTTTTCCTCAACTCTCTGTGCGTTATCGAACTGATCGGCAAATAATGGCATTACAATCATAGGCTTTCCGTAACTAAACGTCTCACATATAGTGCTGTTCCCGCCGTGAGTTATCACGAGATCTACTAATGGCAACACTTTTGTCTGCGGAACCGACTTCTGGCCCCACATATTGTCCGCCAATTCATATTCATCGCCGCGAATACCCTTTGAAACGATAAATTTATGCTGACTTTTGGACAGAATTTTTACCAAACGTTTCATTAACTCGATATCAATGGAAGCCATTGAACCCAACGATAAATAAATCAATTGTTGCTTCGAAACAGTATTTCTAAACATTTCCGGTAATTCAAAAGATTCCTCTTCTTTCCTCACAATTGATTCAATCCTAAACCACTTGTGAGGAACGGGTCTAACGTCGGTGTAGTCGAGCTCTTCGGGAAATATATAGAGATTAAGATAAGGAGAGTCGGGAATACATCGGAAATTAGGAATCGCTGGAAATCCTCTGCTTATAAGCCATTCATTGTATTTAAGGCTAAGTTTTTCAAACAATTTTATTGATATTTCTCTGAATTGTGGCCAAAGACTGCGATCGCCATCAGATGGAAAGCCTAAAAATACAATTTGTTTTAAATAATAAATTCATGTATTAATGAAACTTATTCTACAAGAGATACCCGAGAATGGAGGGGAGTTGTCTCGCTATTCAGTACATACAGTGGATTACCACTACATAACACAATCCAAGGTTTGTCTGAATAGATAAGTGTTGGCGAACCAATGAAGTGGTCAATTATAAAGAGATCCGGCTTATATTTGGTGACAATATGTTTCAAAAGTTCCTCATTTGTGACAATTGTATTAAAATTATCCATAAAAAAGTCTTCGGTGGACAACATTTTGATTTTGTCCAAAGGAGAGTTCCCTGATATGAGTCCAGACATGAATAGTCTATTGGCGTCCTCTACTCCCGGTTCAGTTGGGTTAGTGTTTGCCTTCAAAAGTATCTCCTCTTCAAAGCCATAGCGAACTAACCGTCCTTTCCATGACTTGTCGACAATGAATACAATTCTGTGGCCGCGATCTCGAAGAGATTGAGCCAAACCGATGCAGGCGTTCACGTGAGCCACACCTTCCATGGTTGCCACCAATATTGTCAACACTTTCTTGACACCAGAATTCATATTTAATAATTACAACAATTGCTTCCGACTATAGCTTACTGTATATAAGTTTTCATACAAGTATTATAAGATTTGATAGGAATATAAGAATATTCATTCTATTTATAGACTATACATGTAAAAAGACACCAATATAGATTCAAATGACAAAATTAATGACTAGATTTGTATAGTCATGACATTACATGGTAAATGACTACACATTTAATTTGTACATATTTTTTAAACAACACAATAATTAATGTCTGATTCTTTCAAATCTCTGGTTTATTAAATAATTTTAAACATTTTATATAACATATTGAAATGGTTGTAATGTTATATAAATTGTAATTACTATTTGATCAACTAATTAATATGATATCATTTGAATTTATATAAAATTAATCAAAACAATCTTTTATTTAGAAATAAAATAACTTTTTATGAATATTAACTTAAAATAAAGTTTAAAAATAAAGACACCAGACATGTCATCTGGGGACCCCGGTTCTACTCCCTTTCCCCCATTTATCTGACATCAAAATAAGTTATTGAAAAAACATTTAAAAAGTTTAAAAATGTCTTATTATTGATGTATTATTTGACGAGATTTTCGATGAGTTGTGCGGCCTTTTGAAGACTTTCGGAACTAAGCATTCGTTTGGAAGCGACGGATAATCTTTCATTCAATTCCTTATCATTCAATAGCTTTTCGATGGAATTCAGTAATTCTTGTTCTGAACAGTAATAGGGATTCAGACGAATCCCAAACCCCTTTTCCTGAACTCTCTGTGCGTTATCGAACTGATCCGAAAACAAAGGCATTAAAATCATAGGCTTTCCATAGCTAAAGGTTTCGGTGACCGAGTTGTTCCCGCCGTGAGTTATCACGAGATCTACTAATGGCAACACTTTTGTTTGCTGAACCGACTTCTCGCCCCACATATTGTCCGCCAATTCATATTCATCGCCGCGAACTCCTTTCGAGACAATGAACTTATGGTTGGATTTCGAGAGAATCGCCACAAATCTCTTCATAAGATTCACGTCCACTGAACCCATAGAACCCATTGAGAGGTAAATTAATTTACTTTTTTGTTCATCTCTTTCACGAATTTTATCGGGAATTTTGAATTCTTGCTCTCCTTTTCTCATAAACGCGTCGACTCTGAACCNTTTGAATTCTTGCTCTCCTTTTCTCATAAACGCGTCGACTCTGAACCACTTGTCAGGAAGGGGTCGGATATCTATGTAATCGAGTTCTTCGGGATAGCCATAGATATTGAGATACGGGGAGTCAATGATTGCTTTGTTATTAGTAGTTACGGGAAAGCCTTCTTCTCTCATCCATTCGTTGTATTTTATGCTTTGTTTTGTAAACAAATCTTTTCCTAATTCTTTAAACTCTTCCCATTCAGAGGGGTCTCCATTCGACGGATAGCCTGCACACCAAATAAATAACATTAAAATCTTATTTCATTGTAAAACAAATGATCAGAACATAAAGAAGAATTACTATTGTTTATGTAGTTTTAAATTGCCTTATAATTTGTTAATTTTTACATAAATTATTATTATTATTACGTTATTAATAAAATTTATTTGGGGTTGACTGGCGAACAGGAGGGCGGTGTCCTGTCGTCCTTTAATACAAATAACGGATTACTGCTAGATAGGAAAACCCAGGGCTTATTCGAGTGGATTAGTGTCGGCGAACCCGCGAAGCTATCAATGATATAGAGATCCGGATTATATTTGGCAATAATTGCCTTAAGCTTTGGTTCATTTGCGCGCATTTTGTCAATCATCTCCTCAAAGAAAGGTAAAGAAGATATGATTTTCATGGATTCATACGACGAAACTCCTGATAAAACTCCTGATTGTAGTAAATGTTTGGCGCCGGTCTCTCCGGGCTTTTGATCCTTTTTATCGCTTTCTTCAGAAACGAGTATTTCTTCAGTGAATCCATACGAAGACAACTTTCCAGTGAATGACTGGTCGGTCACAAACACTATGTGATGGCCACGACTTTGAAGCACTTCAGCCAAACCAATGCAGGCATTCACATGACCCACACCTTCCATGGGTGCCACCAATATTGTCAACTTGTTGGCCATTTTAGCAATATTTTGTTAATTTGAGAAAATATTAATGATTTAAATAACTTTTTGCACTTTAAGTTATGAGCAAATGATTGCAGGTCCAGACACTTTTATAGCGCTATAACATAAATAAATACGTCAAATATCATAGTTTGCATATCTTTATCTAAAATACCTAAATAATCTTATGATAAATAAGTGGATTTACTTTTTTATTGCAGAGACAGAATAGTACAGAATAGTACAGAATAGTGCAGAATAATGCAGAGACTTTTACTTAAAGTACATTATACAGTATGTGCTGTACATTAAAGAATAATTATATTTATTCCTTGATCTACGTTTGTACTTACATGTAATTAAGTTCAAAATAAATATAATTCATAAGACACTCATGATAAACTATCATCAAAAAATCTATTAATTCATTTCATTAAAAGCCACAAAATACATTTTTAGTCACATAGTACCATAATATGGTCTTATAACTTATATTTGAATTTCATAATTTAAAATAATATTCAACATAATATTTTATTAACAAAAATATAAAACAACACATTAAGTACAGATTAAATTTTTATTTGTAATTAAAATGGTTTATAACTTGTACACCTCATCAAAATTGAGTGCATTTTAATAAATTCTTCCACTAAATCATTGTCTGTCTGGACTGCACTCTAGATTATCACCTATTTTAGTGCGTTTGTCCTAAAAGTTATAACATTTAGTGCATTAATATAAACAATGAGTAAATATTTTGATTTAATATATAAATCATGTGATGTTTGAATATATCATTTGACGAGATTCTCGATGAGTTGTGCGGCCTTTTGAAGACTTTCAGAACTAAGCATTCGTTTGGAAGCGACGGATAATCTTTCATTCAATTCCTTATCATTCAATAGCTTTTCGATGGAATTCAGTAATTCTTGTTCTGAACAGTAATAGGGATTCAGACGAATCCCAAACC